TGCCGCAAGGAGGCATCTCAGCGCTACCCGAGTGGAGATGAGCTGGACAGCAGCTAAACACGGGAGCAGCAGCTGTTAACCTCAGGCCCACGGCACCTTCTGCAGCCTTGACACCCAGGAGGGTGGCTTGCACACATGGCCACCACGTGACACACCCCTACCCCAGGCTCGGCAACACAGGCTTTTGTTTTTAACTACAATGACCCTTGTGCCTTAAAGTCAGAGACCCTCTTCTATGGTCCTTCCGGGGGGGGGGCAGTCATGTCAATGCCCACCCTTGGGCCCTGCTTCCCTCTACTCACGCCAACTTCCTTCCCCAGGCTGACGGATGCCAGAACGCGCCTCACTCCTTCCCCACTTCCAATCTGCCAGATCAAGGCCTCTGCAGGCTGGTGTTTGAAGGGCCAGTCTCTTGCCTGTAGTTCATACCACACAGTCCTACGGAGACATGACACAGTGTGGGCTATTGGAGTGTCATAAAACCCCACAGGAGGCTTTATGCTAGGAGCCAGAGACAAAAGGTCAAAGACACAAGTCACTGACAACAAGGAGCACAGCCATGATTTTTCAGGGCACACTTCCCAGCCCAGTGGCCAGCACTGTGCTTGAGCGCTGGTGGCCTACTCACCCGAACGCATAGACATCAGCAGCTTTGGAGAAGGGCAGCTGGTCCTCATCCCTCCCGGGTGTCATTTCTCGTACAATCTCAGGGGCCAGGTAGCACAGCCAGTCATGGGACAGCTTCAGTTGGTTCTCACGCCTGGAGGCGGGGACAAGGACATGGGCCACTCAGTGGGGAGCAGGTGGCCTGACTTGTACACATCTGCGCTCACTCACATGTGATAGAGAAAGCCCAGAGAGGAACATAGAGGTCTTGCTCTTGAACAGGCTGGGAATGGCAGGGAGCTGCTGCTGAGTGTGTTTGATCCCCGGTACCCAGGAGTGGCCGGTCTGTCTAGGACCTCAGATGTCAGACCTGCACACTGACTCACTTGCCTGCCAATCTTCCCTGAGACCCCACCCCCATTCCTTTTTGTAAAATTACTTATTTATTTTTATTTTATGTGCATTGGGGTTTTGCCTGCATGTCTGTCTGTGTGAGGGTGTCAGATCTTAGAGTTAGACAGTTGTGAGCTATCATGTGGGTACTGGGAATTGAACCAGGTCCTTTGGAAGAGGAGCCAGTGTTCTTAACCACTGAGCCATTTCTCCAGTCCCCTACCCCCATTCTTTTTTTTTTTTTTTTTTTTTTGGGTTTTCGACACAGGGTTTCTCTGTGGCTTTGGAGGCTGTCCTGGAACTAGCTCTTGTAGACCAGGCTGGTCTCGAACTCACAGTGCCTCTGCCTCCCGAGTGCTGGGATTAAAGGCGTGCGCCACCACCGCCCGGCTTGCTGCCCCCATTCTTAGGGAGGAGCTTTACTTGCCACCCAACCCCTTTACAACCACAGGAAGTAGAACACTCTCATCAAGGAGATATAAGCTGGGCCCCTCACCCGTCACTGAGTAGCCAAGCTTAATGTGCCAGGGGACTCAGCCTCCATGGTACCCCCGGGAAATCAAGTGTCATGAGGGACCTAAACATCACCCAGGCCCACCTCTGCACTGAAACCACATGGGCAGAACCAGGAACTGAGGCAACCTGGCCTGTGCAGGAAAGGCTCTCGCCAACAATACAGCCAGGGGTCTTCCACACCCGTGTAGTGCTGCAGCCCCCTGACCCATGCAGACACCCATGGCCAACTCACCGTTCCTCCCGGACCACGCCAGAGATCCCAAACAGCCCGAAGTCCGTGATGACCACTTTGCCATTGTCGTAAAAGACATTCTTGGACTTGAGGTCTTTGTGCACGATGCCCTTGGCATGAAGATACCCCATGCCCTGCAAGACAGCCAACCTTGTATCAGAGGGTGGGAATGCTAAGAGACGGAGGCTGAGTATCATTCGGGTGAGGCACATTAGCCATCCCCCCATCAATCTTCACACAGACAGCTGGCAGAAGGACACTGTCCTCCCCTTACAGATGAAGGCATGGAGGCTCATAGGGAGCAAGTGACTTGCCCCAAGCCACACATGCTCTTTCTAAGCCACTCTGCTGCCAAATAGCCACCTGAGACTTGGGTAAGGTGTGAGGCATGGACACAGTGACTGGCAGTGGGCAGAGGTCAGGGAGTATAAAGATCAGTGAATGATACGGTCTGGAGATGTATATAAAGCATGGGCTTAACATGCACACAGTCCTGTGTTCAGGACGCAGCATTATCAATCTTAAATAACCAGGGCTGGAGGGATGGCCCAGTGGTTAGGAGCACTCCCTTCTCTGCATGCACACACACACACACACACACACACACACACACACACAGAGAGAGAGAGAGAGAGAGAGAGAGAGAGAGAGAGAGAGTGTCTTAGAAGGGGACTAGGGTAAAGGGACCCAAATGAGCAGGCTCTCAGGAGTTCCCTAGCTCTGCTCTTAGGCAGGGTGACACTCAGGGCAGGTAAAAGGAGACATTCCTAGGATGCGATCTAAAGTTCGGCCATTTCTTTTCTTTCTTTCTTTCTTTCTTTCTTTCTTTCTTTCTTTCTTTCTTTTTTTTTTTTTAAAGAGAATATTCAAGGTTTTTTTTTTTTTTTTAAATTATTATGTGTACAGTGTTCTGCCTGCATGTCTGCTTACAGGCCAGAAGAGGGCACCAGATCTCATTGTAGATAGTTGTGAGCCACCAAGTGGTTGCTGGAGTGACAAGTTCCACTGTGAGCTGACTAAGGACAAGTAGCTGTCCCTCTCTGAGGCTTACTCACACACAGGCATTACATGGGGTTTGACGGGTTACACTTGTCATCCCAGCACTTGAGAGACTGAGGCAGGGGTTCAAGGTCATTCTCAGCTACATAGTGAGTTTAAGGATAGCCTAGGCTACATGAGTGCCTATAACGAAACAAAATAAAACCACCCAAATACTCAAAACCAGGAGCGACATATGGAAAGGGCCAGGTGAAAGAGACAAGTTCTAGAGCTGAGTGAGCCTGGACCATCAGTCTTTGCCCCAGGATTTCCCGGAGTCTCCACAGTAACTCTTAAGTTGCAAACCCTCTCACGGAAGGTCAGGTAGGGGAAGTAGCCAGCCTGGCCCCTTGAGTCCTGTGACTCAGAGCTCAGCATCTTGATCTGAGAGAGAAGGGTGAGTGGGAAGGGGTAGGGGGCAGGGTGGAGCAGAGTCCTTGGTGAAAGACCACACCTGAGGCAGAGGTGACACTTTGGGTTTTGGTCTTGGAGTTTAATTTCTAAGTGTGGACATGGGAAAGAAAGGGGTAGACTGAAACCCTGGTTCGTCCCCAAATGCCATTGTGATTTTTATTCTTTCCTTCCTTCCTTTTTTTCTTTTCTCCCCCCCTCCCCCTTTTTAATAGTTTTTCAAGACTGGGTTTTTCTGTATAATAGTCCTGGCTGTCCTGGAACACACTTTGTAGACCAGGCTGGCCTCAAACTCACTGAGATCCGCCTGCCTCTGCCTCCCGAGTGCTGGGACTAAAGGCGTGCGCCACCACTGCCCAGCTCCAAGTGTGGGTCTTTTGATGTCCTGAAGTGAAACACTCTGTTCCCTACCGATGATGCTAAGAAACTCTCACCATGTACTAGCTCCCTCCCAACTGTTCTCTCTAACGATGACTTCATTCTGTCTCTGCTCCAACCTAATCAAGGAGGCTGTGCTGGTATTTACAGGGGAGGAAGCTGAGGCTCAGAGATGCTCGGTGAGGTGGCACAGCTAGTGAAACCATCTCTCGAGTTTCTTCACAGCTAATTCAGTTCAAGCAACGCTGACTGAGCGGCAAGCTCTGGATTTGATTGGATGAGACAGCTAGGAGACAGAGAGCCACAAACCACCTGGCATGGGCAGATACGGCCGGGGGAAGGGCCAAGAGCTCTAGAGCTAGCAGCTGGAAACCCCACCTGGACCCCACCTTTACCTTGATGATCTCCTGAGCGATCTGCCTCGTCTTGTTGATGTCCAGAGACGTCTTGGGGTCCCTCACAAATGAGTGCAACGTCCGTCCCTTGCAGAAACTGTTGAGGGTAGTGGGGGTTGGAAAGAGGCCTGGAGCCGCTACAGGCTGACCCCACCCCCGTGGAACCTGTGAGAGGAACTGGGTCCGCCTGCTTCTCGAAGGTTCTCATTTCAACCAACATAAGCCATGAACATGAGTTTTATCACCAAGACTCCAGCTGGAGCCTGGCTAGACAGGCTTACACATACCTGTACACCCATTTCTGGAGGTGCAAGGCCTGCCAGCTTTCCCTGCACAAGGAAACAGCTCATTCACCCTCCCAGCCATTCAGGGCTGAGCAGGAGAACTCAGATGAGGAAGAACGCATCCTCCAGGACTCTCAACAGGCTACATGGAGCCTGTCACTACGAAGATTACCATTTTCATTATATGTAGATCCCAGGCAATTACATCCTGTTGCTAACTGAGTATTGTATGTTCCTTTCTGTGAAGACCCTTTCACTAATTCTAAGCTTTTTGGGAACTGGAGGCTTGAGGGAGAGAAGAGAGAAGATGGCAGAGGAGGCTGTAGATCTGGAGCACCCCCTAGTGGACTCCCTGGGGACCCGATCTTTCACTTTGAGCTGGATTTTTTTTTTTTTTTTTTTTTTTTTTGGAGGGGTTTTTTGAGACAGGGTTTCTCTGTAGCTTTGAAGCCTGTCCTGGAACTCACTCTGTAGACCAGGCTGGCCTCGAACTCATAAAGATCTGCCTGCCTCTGCCTCCCGAGTGCTGGGATTAAAGGTGTGCACCACCAATGCCTGGTCCTTGAGCTGAAATTTTACAGAATAGGTCAGGGGACTCTAGTGATCTGATACTGTTTAGGAGTTCATTATCTTTATATAAAAAAGCCACTTGTTTATTTGGGATGGTCTGCTTGCATGAGGTACAGGACACCTCATGTTGGTGAGGGCTCTCTTGGCTTCGTGGAATGAAAACCATGAAGCTATGAGTACCTGAGGTTTTTTTTGTTGTTGTTTGTTTTTTTGTTTTTTTGTTTTTGAGGAGAGACAAGGTTTTGCTATGTGGCCGGGCTATCTTAAACTCAAGATTCCCCCGCAACAGCCTCCAAGTGCTAGCACTGCAGGTATACGCTGCCACACCCAGCTCTGATGTTTTGACATCAGTGGGCAGTGTGGATGGAGAGAGACATGATTCTTGGTCTTTGATTTTTTCTCTTCCTCTCTCTGATAACTCTTCCACATCTGCAGGGTATCCTCGGGCTTCAGGGCCAGGGAAGCTGTGCTGCTCATGGGCCCGGGCGGGGTGGCTCACCTGGTGATGATGGCCAGGTGGGGTGGGTTCATGCAGGCCCCCATGAAGAGCACCACGTTCTCATGCCTGGTCTGCCTGTAGTTCATCACCTCTTTCTTGAACAGCTTCAGGTGGTCCTGATTGTGGCCGTCCATCTCCAGCAGCCGAATGGCTACCTCGCCATGCCATCGGCCTCGGTGCACCCGGCCCCAGCGGCCCTGCCCAATGGGCTCTCCAAGTTCCACTTGTTCGAAAGGGATGTCCCACTCCTGCAGGTACACGCTAGTTTGGCTGGCTTTTCGAGAGATGGGGCCCCGCCAGGGCCGGCGGGAGCTGGGGAGGTCATCCACCTCGTCGTCATCATCTTCTGCCTCGGACTTGCCAGCCTCAGGCTCCTCAGCCTGAAAGGAGATTGAACAGAGAGGGGAGTGAGTCTGGGTCTTCTCTTCCTGGAGTGCTGGCCAGGCACCACCAGGCCCGGCACCTTGGCCTCCTTCTGGTAGTCTCCTGCCTGAATACACAGATTCTGATGCCTGTGTCCCGCCACCTAGCAGCAATAGCATTCTAAGTCATGTTGCTCTGTAGAGACCCAGGCTATTTCTGTTTGAAGGTCAGGATGGTGGCTTCTTTCTGGGTCTCATGGAGCCCAGGCTGGCCTCCAACTTGCTGTGTAGTTGATGACTTTGAACTTTTGACTCTCCTACCGCTATCTCCTCAAGGACTGGGATTACAGGTGGGCACAACCACACCTGGTTAAGATGAAGATGGCAGTCCTTGACACCCATCACAACTGCCTATCAAGCTCTGAGAACACGGAGGTGCCTACCCGTGTCCCCGGCTGACTGAACTGGCTCCCAGGCCAGGGCCTGGGTCTGTGGGTTGGGAGTCAGGACAGGAGAATAAAGAGGCTCTTGCAGGTAGCACTTTACCGTATTCTTCTCTGCTATGCACATCTACCCACACCTGCTGCAACAGGCCCACACCCTCGTCCCTCCCCCAGGCCCCCACTGACCCTGTATCCACTAACAAGAGAGGAGAGAGAGGCAGCTGGCTGCCTTGGGTCTCATGCATGTCACTCCCACTCACCTCTGCTTCGTGAACACCCAGCACATCTGCTTTGGGCTGGTCCTCGAGCCTAAGAGTGAAACGGGCTTTGTCAAGGAGATCCTGGGCTGGGCCAGGGTGGCCCTGGGTGAGGCAGTATGAAAGCTGTGGACACAGACAGCAGGCTGACTGGAGGGGGTGGGGATGAGGGGGTGCACAGACAGCACCTTGGCCCTTGCAGCACATGGAGCAGGGCCCCACACTCCTGCCTTTGAGACCTGGCTGTCACCGCCTTGTAGTGTGAATTTCCGCAATTTAACCCCTCTAGGTGGTTGTACTTAGAGACCTACTGCACTGGCTGAGAACCAAGGGACCAGGAGCCAAGTGCTCAGGGCAACCTAATGGAGATCCAGAGACAAGAATAATGTTCAGCAGGTCTCTGTTCACCCATATTTCCTCCTGGGCCATAAGCCTGCTGCTGTTGTATACACAGCCCCATATGGTGCTCACTGTACCAGCAGGAGGCAAATCAATCCCCAGGACCCGAGGATGAAAACAGGCTGGTTCCCCACCAGGCTGGTGTAGAACCGGAGGGTCAGATATGTAGGGTGGGTTGGGAGGTGGCTGCGGAGGGAGGGTTCATACCGTGTAGTGTCGGCTGTGCTGGAGAGCGGGGCTGCCTGAGGACAGGCTGAAATGTCTGTAGGAAAGAGGACGGGAGCAAAGCGTGAGTGTGCTTTCCTTCATCTCCAAAGACTAGCACTCAGGCACAGCCCTTCTCTCCTGAGCTGTCACCTCTCCTCAGGTCACCTCCACCAGGATCGATCGGCGCATGCTTTGCAAGCTGACACAAACTCAGTCTCTACAGCCTTTGGTCTACATGGCTGCCTCAGGCAGAGGCTCTGGGTGAGTGATTCTAGAGAGACCCCAACAATTAACACCACTGCTGGGCCCAAACGAACCACAAGTGGCAAAAGTTAGCGCTGTCACCTCTGCGGAGGGTCCTTCTGGTAGAAAGCAGGGCTGGCAGCTATGTAGCACCTGGTATAGCCACTGGTCATTCCCCTGCACCCCCAACTCTGGGATTTGGGTGGCTGGTGTCACAACTCTTCAGAAGAGGATATCCACTCTGTGCACCAGGAGGCTCCAGGCTGGCAGCTGCTGAGGCTGACCCCTGTGGCTCCAAAGTAGTAGTCCAGCTGTGGCACAAAGACCCACCTCTAGGATACCAGAAATAGACACACCCCTCCCCCAGTGGAACCAAAGTGATACATGAAGTGTGGTGGCAGTCAGCAGGGCTCCCCTCTCTCAACAAAGCATCAGGAAGTGGCAACAGCTCAAGCTATCAGCGGCCCCTTTCCTGCCTTGGACAAAGACCTTCCCCACTCAGCCCTCACTAATCTCCTTCACTGGAAGGTTTTCTCCACAGCTGCCTCCGAGAGTCAGTGGGGCCGGACGGACAGAAGCCGTGGGCTTTCTTATGGGGCAATGCACACATATGCACAACATCCTGGGCAGTGTTGGGGTCCAGGGGCTTCAGAAGCAACAGCTACAGCCTCTGCGGCCACCTCCTCATCGCCACCAGGCTTCCAGGCCCGCATTTTCACACACGCTCAAGCTGCTCCAGAAGCTCCTCATGTCTTGGGTGAGGTGTTGGAGTGGGGGCAAATGTCTGGGGAGCTTCTCCCTTGTCTGTCCCAGAATGCATTGTGCACTATTCTCATGTGTTCCTTTTTCATTAGTACATAAAGCCCCGCCCCCACCTGCAGGGCAAGACAGGCCGCTCAGGTTGAAGTGCTGGAGTCCCCCAGTTTAGGGGACACAGTTGAGCTGGTGACTAGGAAGGCTCTTGGGAGATGGGGGAATCGCACAAAAGGGGCAGATCCCCCAGTGCCTGGCAGCCCACACACACCTAAGTAGAATTACAGGGATTATGGTTACTGAATGCTCCAACTCCATTCTTGAAGGGAGTGAATCTGGAGAATAGAAAAGCCTGGAATAACCGAATTACTGGGGATTCCAGTCTTGGCAAATCAGAGAAAAGACTATTAGAGTTGTCTGAAGCACAGAGGTCCATAGTGTTGGTACTTCCAGTGGGAGGAGAAAAGCATCAATTATATAGCCTCGAAGGGGAAGGGATATGGGCAAAGGGATATGGGCAAATACAGAAGTTTCTGGTGAAGAGAATCTAAGGGTTTCCTTATTGAATGTAAAGTTTTTCCTTCAAGCTTTCTGCAATGAGGAGGTAGTTCTATTGACTACCAGCAGATGGCACTGTGTGTTAATGCTGGGAAAGGCCAAGCCCGCTGACAGATGATGACTTTGCCTGTAAGATTTTCCCAAATTGGCTTTCCCTTGTCATTCACTTTTCATGAGGCACCAGCAAGTAGCCCCTCCCCTCGTTCTGCAAACCCGAGTTCTAGATTCTCATCCTTCTTCTGTTACTTCCGGGCAGTGTGACCTTGAACCCGTTCCCTGCAGCCTCTAGGCTGGCCTCCAGGTCCCATCCAGCAAGGTGCTACCCACATCAGGGTTCACACCTCCAGGACTTGTGGCCCTCTTGCCCAGCTGCAGTGGACTCAAGCGCGTGGGGAGAAGGCACCAGGCGGGATAGATGGAGGGTCACAGGGCAGTGAGTGGACCCGGGCGGAAGACTCACCTGGGAAGATAAACTGCTGTCTATGATGAATGAAGGACGCAGCTTAAAACAGAAGAGGACGTGAGTCACACAGTGCAAAGGCAGCGCAGCGCGGGAGGCAGGGTGCATGGACTTGGGGGTGGGGGGTGCTGGTTATTGGCTTAGGTGGCTCTGCCCCAGGGGCTCTGGTGAGAAAAGGCGGAGCCATGCAGGAAAAAGGAACAGGGCTGGAGAAGAATTGGGGTGTGGTGAGCCCAGGCGCAGAGGGGCTGTGCACCGACCACCTCAGTGGTCTCCTTAACGACCAGCCCCGGCCAGTGAGCGCTGGGAAAAGCTCGGGCCAGTTTTGCTCTAGAAAATGCACATGAGCCAAGAGGCTAAGGTAGAGCAGGGAGAACAGTGGCTCGGATGACGTCCAACAGTGTGTGCAGAACGAACAGCCTCTTCCCTTCAGTCTACCCTGACCTCCCCACTTGAGCTCTGGATCCTCCCAAGTGCTGTGACCCAGCAGGGAACCATCACAAACCACTTGTTTTCTGTCTCTGACACGCTTGCTACTGGTTTCAAGCCCATGGGCTCCCTTCTCCTGCTGTGGCCTTGCGAGTAGTTGGGACTCTAGGTGAGTCTAACCTCGGCTCTCCTCCATAAGGCTCTGGGACCTGGGGAGGCAGTTAGCTCCCCAGTGCCTTATTGTGAGTAGTAGAATACATGAGCTTGCCTAGGCTTTGCTGTGAAGGGCTGCGGTGAGGCTCCTGGACAGCACAGGGTAAGGTAGGTGGCACGAGGGGTCCACGGTCCTTCCCTGTGGGCCTATCCCAGCCCTCCCGGGATATGCTCATGAGTCCACTAAGATCATGGAGAGGATGAGGCTTCCGTGCAGGGACAAAGGGGGCCCATTTCCCTTATGGGTCACCTGTGTAAGTGGACAGGATCTGATCAATGTCATAAAAACAATTTTTTTCTGTGTCCCTTGTCTTTTTAAAACAGTCCTTCTTAGAAAAACCCAAAGTAGATGGTTTAAGCAAGAGACTTGTTCAGAGAGTAAGGGCAGAACAGAACTGAAAAAGGAAGCCAATCCAGGAGCCACCGCTCAGCCACAGGGTATGACAATGTGTGGGCAGACATCACTTTTAAGAGCACTCCAGCCACGTGCATATTAAGGAAGTCACAAGAACAGGTGACAGAAGAGTCCTACCCTTTGGCCCCTCACCACCCCCAAAAGTCCCAAAGTCCCCACTGGGCCCAGAGGCTGCTTGGCCAGCTGCTGACTGTGTATTGGGTCAGTGTGGGTCCTGCTAGCCAGGTAAAGAGTTGAGGGGTGTGGTGGCACTCTGTCTTTCTGGGTTCAAAATGCCAGGGACCAGTGACAGAGGGACTGATCTGGACCCTGTGGGTTACAGCAATCAGGAGCATCATTCCCCCTAGGACTGCAAACTAGGCAAGCCCAGGACTAGCCTGACAGCAGAGCTGCCCTTGCCAAGGATGCCAAGGATACACAGCTCAGTGCCATGTGGCTAAGTGGGCTTTGCTGTGTTCCCTGGAGCCAGGGAAACCCAGTATGGCTGACCGGAACTGAGGGCAAGAGCACACAATCCTGGCCTCTTCCTGCAGTTCCAGGGTGCCACATCTGAGGGCAGCTGGGCTCAGCTCTGCCCTCCAGAGTTGCCCCAGGGTTCACTGTCTTCACTTGCTCAGTGGAGACCACCTCATTCTAATTCCCCAAGTTCTCTGGATGGGACATGAAGGAGTGTGAGGTCTTGTCTGAATAGCCAAATCCAATCAAAGAATGGTATATTCCACAGAGGCCCAATGCCCTTTTGTTGGTCACATCACCTTTGAGCTCAGAAGGCAGCCCCAAGAGAGGGTGATGCGGGGCAGAAGCCACCACAAGCACAGGAAGGCAGCCTGGTGTTACCCGAGAACTCAGGCTTTGTGTCAGACAGCCTTGGGTTTGGCCCTAGCTCTGCCACTGTACAATGCAGGGCCGGCCACTCCTCCTTTCTTAAGCCCAGCAAACTCATCTGTAAGAAGGGTGCCACAGCATCCATCCCACTCTCAACAAATGCTCCGCAGACACAGCTCTCAGGGGAGACTGGGAGAGGGTCTGAGGCCATCCCTAAGGACCCAGAAAAGCCCAGAGGTGTGGTACCTGGGAAGCTGAAACTGCTGTCCCGCTGGCCAGGTGAGGGGTTGGGGGGCGTGGTGGCACTGGAGGGGTTAGATGAGGTCAGGAAGGGCGCCGGTGATGAGGGCGTGGAAGACGTGGTGGAGGATGGGTTGCTGCTGGAGTCCAGGGTCATGGCTGGAGGATGCTCCTGCAGGACCAGAGATGCCAGGATGGGCAGGGCTGCAAGCTCAGCTCAGCAGCTGCTAACCTGATGGAGACCTCCTTTTCTCCCCTCTCCTTCTACCTCCATGGGTGGTCGTCAGGCCAGGAGATCCTTGGGGCTCTGCCCATGGGTGGAGGTCAGGCCAGGAGATCCTTGGGGCTCTGCTCTGTAGCCCCAAGGTTTTCTGGCCCTAATATATGATGAAAAGACACTTAGAGACCCTCCCCTAAGATTCCTGGCCATCTTTCTTACTGTAGTTCCTGCTTCCCCCTAAAAGCCCATCTGAACCCTAGCTGTAACCGTGCATGCTCTTCCTCTTTAATCCTTCCATAGCTCCCAGCATTTCTGCATCCAGGCCCCTTAGCATACACTTCGTCAGCTGCAGACAGCCAAGGTTGGTTTGCTGACGACCAGCTCTCACACCCCAGCACCCGCCTGGCTCTGAGCTGGGCACCCACAGTTTCTTGATGAATTGAATTCATACTCTGACCAACATTTTTGCAGCTTCTGCTATGTGCCGGGCCCTCTGCAGAAGGCGGGTGACAACAAGGCATGGAACCTGTGGTTTCATGATCCTGTCCTAATAGTACAAAGGTTCCCAGAGAACCCACAAAACTCCAGAAGAGGTAACAGCTTGGGCCAATGTTGTCCACCATCTTGAAGGGTTAAGAATTCCAGGGCTGGGGGCTGGGGATGTGGCTTAGTTGGTGCGATGCTTACCTAGCACACACAAAGCCCTGGTTTTGGTGCCAGTACTGAAAAAACTGGGCATAGTGGAACAGGCCAGGGGGATCAGAAAGCCAAAGTCAGTAAATATGAGTCTGGGCTGTGTCCATTAGGACAGAGTGGGGTAGATGGTTTGTAGCTCCAGGCCAGGGCACCCAGGGAACCCGTGGATCAGGAGGCCAGTGTGGTGGTGGGGGGAGGAGGGTGCTCGGGCTCAGCTCTTCTGTCTGCAGCTTCACGCAATAGAACCAAGTATGACCCTAATAGATACCTGCTAGGTTCTACCACTTCTTAGCTGGGTGGCTCTGGGCAACTTCTGTGAGCTCTCTGAGCTTCCATTTCCTTAGCCACACAGGGGATACATCATCACTTATGCCAGAGCATTGTGTGGATTTGGAGAAAAAGAGGTCAAGACACATTAAGTATCTAATGTTTGCTCAACTCTTTTGTAGACCTATCTTGGACCAAACAGTGCTTGGGACCATGCTTTGAAACTCAACCAAGCCAAAAGGTCAAAAGGTCAAAGGGTCAAACAGCCAAAAGGCCCAAGAGGAGTCCAGGTGGATTGTAGATCTAATTCAATGCCTTTATTTCCTAGGGCAGAAAGCAACTCCTTAGACAAAACAGAGTCAAACCAGTTAGTGCCACGTTTAACAAGTTTCTTTCTTGTAAGACCCAAAGGCTGAGGGTGTACAATATATTCTGAAGCTCACAGAGCTGAAGTTGGCCTTGCTTGCCGGCATGGCAGGCCCACATGGCACCAACTAAATGGCACTCTCACTCTCTCTGCGCCCACTCTAAGGCTGAGACCCCACCGACACCTCCAGTCCCCATAAGCAGAAACTGGCGTGAGCACATGGGCCACAAGAGCAGGCCCTGCCTCTCTCTGCACCTGTGTGGCAATGACATACTTCTGACCTGAGCTGCAGTGTCACCCACAGAAAGGTCTCAGCGGCTGCACTACAGGCTACCCGTTCACTCGGTGACCCACCCAAATGCTGCTGACTGTCTAGCATGTGCCAGGCGACAATGTGGACATAAGGGGTGTGTGGGAGGGAACAGCACTGCCTGGATCTCTGCGGACATCTGTGACAAACAGAACGGGGCAAAGGCGGGGAAGGTGGCTAAAGAAGGAGTTAGAGAGAAATGGGACAGATATTATATGCCCACCTCTGCTGCAGCAACAGTGGCCCCATCCCAATGCTCTCGGAGGAAGCATTGTTATCCCCGTTCCTAACAATCCGTGAGTGAAGATCAGAGAGGTCTAGCAGCTCATTTAAGGTCACAGAAGCACAAAAGGGAGACTCACAGCCAGGGCTGAGGACACGA